CTCTGATTAACAATCTGGCAATTCAAAAAGAAATGTGTTGCAGAAGAAAAAAAAAGCATAATAAATTAATGTTTCAATTTTAATCAACAAACTCAGGGATTAAAAAGAAATTTGTTGCCATCTGAAATAAAATATTTTATCTTCTAAGCCGTCATTCGGTAAAGCAGTTCTCCATCTCTATTATTTTTAATTACTAAGTGAACTCATTACAATTACTATATTTTTTTATTTTTACTTCCTTGTACGAAGTAAAAAGGAAGTATTGTAATCGCGGAAAGTTTCAGGCAGCATATTTCAACGAAAATATCCATTTTGACCGCTATCGAATGCAATTTAACGATGTTTTTGCGTGATATATGTACGTAAGAACAGAATAAAAAACTAGTTTCCTCAAAAAAAATTATAAAACTGCTTTAAAATTAATTCTGAAGAGAATTTTTCGTGGCGTCTGTACGAACGTATGTACGTACGTACGTATCTCACATAACTCAAAAACGAGTAGCCTCAGAACGTTGAAATTTTGTATATAGGACTGCTATAACATGTAGATGTGCACCTTGTAAATCAATCTTGGTTGCAATCGGCCGCACCAAACATATATAAATATATTTATATATATATCTGCTCTGTTACCGGGCTCAGTGATCTCAGTTTCTTTACTCTTATATGTTTGTAAATTGTATATTTTTGCTTTAAAAATATATATATAAATATATATATATATAATATATAAATATTTATTTATATATTATATATATAAATATTTATATATATATCTACTCTGTTACCCGGCTCAGTGATCTCAGTTTCTTTACTCTTATATGTTTGTAAATTGTATATTTTTGCTTTAAAAATGATTGAATTATGTTGTTTTTTTACCTTTCGGTTAAGGTTTTTATGCCTTTAGTAAATTTGTATGCAATATTTTTAGAATTATCAACAATTTTAAAGTTGTTTAAGTGCCGCTAAGACATTTCTTTTTATGGCGGCCATTGATTTTTTACATTTGAAACAGCAGACTAGTGGATTTGTTGCCAATCTAGAGAAACTTAGCTTCGCAACAACAAAGATAAAGTCTTCACTTATTATTGCGAATTAAATCATGCTTAATCCTTTCTGGAATTTTTTCGAGGAAATAAGCGTTTAAGATTTACTTCGTAATTTTTAATATAGATATTTTGAGTTTTTAATGTATTTTTGCTTTCTCGCGAAGTTAGAACTGAATTAATTGAATAAGAAATACTCAATAGTCTGTGAAAAACTTTTCTTTTTTGTTTTGTTTGCTTAATTTCTTTTATACATCGTTCTAGCATTATTATAATATTTGAATAGAACATGTGGCAACGATTAGATAATGCTATTCTTTAAATGATATAAATTTTGTGCATTATGAGTTATAATATGAACGAAATATAATACTGTTAAGTGAATCTAGCGCCAGAGTGTCGCTACGGTAAACAAATATTAGAGTGAATTTTAAAGAATGCATTTATGCTATTGTGGTTTATGCGCTGTCGGCGAAGTAGATTTAATTCAATCCAATAAGTTTAAATAAAATGCAAGAAAAAATGCGTATAATTTAATATTTCGTACAAGGAAGTCGTGGTGTACACATCAGATTTTTTATAATTAATATTTCCTGCCTCTTGCGCGGGCAGTATATAAAAGTCGAATATTTCCAGACTAATTAAGTATTTTATAAATGTAATATTATATAACAAAAAAATTACAAAAAGACACTAAAAATGGAAGTGTATTTTCGAAAGATTTGTGGGAAATATGCATAAATATTCGGTAAAAGTGTACAGTGAAGTTATTCCTGGTATCAGAAGAATCCTGAAATTAATATCAAACATGAGTCAGTTGCGTAAGGTGCAGAAATCGAGTAGCATTTTACATTGAATAGATATTATAATGTTCACATTATGATAAGAGCTGCAAAAGACTGGACCACTATACAAGTCTCCAGACTTTACGTGCTTGTAATTTTTTTACTTGAGACTATCTAAAAAAGAACAAGAGCAGGGATAATGGAGAAATGTAGCAGATCTAGTAAGTCACCAAAACACTCAATTTAGAAATCCAGAATGCTATATTGTTATGTGTGGCTTTCAAAATGCACTTCTGCATTTTGGATTTCCACGCACTTTTGCAGATGCACCAAAATTAATAGAAATTGATTTTCGGAGGTAGAATATTCATAAAATTGGAAAATCCTATGTAATGATAGTATAAAGATACTTGTAAAGAAAACATATATGCAATGTAAAAGAAAATGAATCACATATTTCCAGAAGGGCAAATAGTAAACTTCTTCTATGAACAAAATATTTTTCATTTATTTTTTAATATCTGAAATCCATTGTCATTTTTTCACGTGGTTTTCGTATAAAGTAATAACTTGATCCTTAACAAAATAGTTATTAGCAAGGAGAGTAAGATTTGTCATTTATTTTCCTTATTTAAGTGAATAACCAAATTCAGACAGATTGTTTATTTCTCACTAGCATATTGGAACAAGTGTCAATAATGATTTTAACTGTGCCGTAATTAAGAAAAGAAATTTGAAACACTATATGTAAAATTTACCTGAATTACAAAACGTATATTTCTTCATTATCGTTAACATAAAAAATTCAAATATAAGGGCAGTAATGAAACTATATAGGAATATACTGAATGCAGACTTCTTCTTTATTTATTTCCAGGGGCAATAACCTTACTAATAATATATTCTTTTTTATTTACATCTTTTTATGTTCGAAAACAAAATAAATGATGTATTCCGTTTATTGTTATTATTCCGAGATAATTTAATAGCGGTGCTACTCAATGAAAGATTTGGTTTCGTTTCGTGGCAACATTAGCATTTATTTTTATTTAAGATTGATTTAAAACAATTGTACAATTTCTGTTGGTTTAAATTTCATCTAAGGAATTTTTGCAAATCCTGTTATGTTTATATCGCTAAGCACGAGGAAATATTTCTCCTGGTAAAAGACTTTCTCTTTCTGCGTTGAGATTTCATTTTATTTAATGTTCTAAATTTGAAATATTCTAAATCCGATTTAACTAGATTAAGGGCATTATGCTTTAATAGCAACTGCCTAAGATTCCACCCGCTATTCGCGAGGGCGGGCAGATGACAAATTAAAGATCTTACGAACTTACACAGCGGCAGTACTTCCCAGGCTGCTTCTAGACTGCTTTCATTGTTCTCTATTGCCAGCTTTGATGTAAGAAAAAACAATACGTCTCCTTCGAGGTGCAATAAGTAACCCTGAATGGAAACTGTATATGCATTTGATTTACAAATCATTTGCCTGCTTATAAAACGTGCATATTTAAATTAATGAAATCAATTACAGAAAAAATATATAGCGCATTGCTTATTCCTCGTCACAAATTCTTGAACTTAAAGACTTTTAAGACTAAAAACGATTAAATTGCAGATAAATTTAAAATTTTACAAAAAATAAGCCTATGTTTCCATAGATTTTTAATAATGAAAGACAAAAAAGATGATTTCATCAAGATTTTACGTGTTATGAATTCGATTGAACCAATCATCCTTTCCCGTGTTATATGTTGTTTTTATTCTTATACGCATTTTTGTCCGTTTTTTTTTTTCTATAATCTGCACTTTTGTTATTAGGTTCACTAGTTAGTTCAACTGTGCCTCCATGTATGCAGCATGTAAAAATCTATGTTGTGAATCTGACTATTACGTATTTTTTATCAAGACTTTATATCTCAGAAAAAAACTGTTTACCTGTTCAACAACTAATCTTACTTCTAACTGATAGGTACGGAAGACTGTTCTTCGATGGAAGTAAACTGTTCCAGCTAAGTACTCCAATATTGCTAGTCAGATAATCCAGACATCCATTTCACATCTGAAATGTAATCTGATACTTCCTTTCTTTCTTTAATATTCTAATAATCCGCAAAGAATTTGGTTTCAGCATTGATATTTACTAAATCCTCTAAATCATGTTACCCTGCTAATCAAGAGGTTTCATTTTACTCTTACGCATATAAGCTCTCAGTATCTCTAATATACACTCTCAGTGTTTTTTCTACAGAACCTTCCCTTCCTCCTGAACTGAGGCATTTGAAATTGATTGCTATTAAAAGAAGATTTTTTCCCACAGTTCATTCATAAAGCCTTGAAACAATTTTAGAAAAACATTTCATTATTGTAGATAATCATTCGTTTTTTCAACGATCAATTGAATTCTTTGTTTAATTCTAAGGATCTCAACTCAGAGTTTAATTCTTGGACAATTTATAACACATCTTGTCATTTTTATTTGTAATACATCTATAAAAACTAAAAGAACATTCAATTTTTTTTTCAAGGGACACACATCGCATTTCAAAAAGAAGAAATAAACAAATTTTCGATAATCTTAATTGGTCACTATATCATAATTTTGACTTTGTTTCTGCAAAACGTATCTGTAAGATTTCTATACTGGTGAACAGATTTGCTGGGAAATTTTCACATTTCGAAAAATTTATCTTCTTTTAGTTAATAGCATTCATTCAATCCAATACTTCCAGAATTCTCATATCTTAGATTATTAGATATAGAATTAGATAATAATTTTCACTTTTCACTACCATTTTTCACCATAGCTCCCGCCACATTCCTGCTTGTATTTTTCCCGACCGTTACTTTTGTTATAACAGCGGTCGTCGCTCCTCCCATTTTGCAAAAAATCTTTTGTTAAAAAAAAAAAAAAAAGAAAGAAAGAAAAAGGACCTATGTCTAATCACCCTTGAAATTGACAGAGTTTTATTCAAAATCTAAGCTAAACGTTGCGTTTCTTCATAATTTTAAATTTCACTTTGGAGTGCTTCATTTCCATTTCATTTCAAATACGCTTTTGCAATGTCTTAGCATGCTTTTATATTTTTTACACCTCACGGAAAACATAATCGGTAATAAATTATATTTACTAGTCAGTTTTTGTATAAGATCTGAGAAAATTTACCGGCACACCGGAACATGTTGCATGTTCTTTGCTGGCCATCTTCATTCGAGCATTTCTTGCTGCCTTCACAGTGACGCTTCCGTTGCTGAATTCCTCCGCCACAACTCCCGCTACAGGGCGTCCATTCACCCCAGGGACTCGAACCTAAAATAGAGAATCATAAAAAATTGTTATTGAAGCATGCACATTCGTAAGAACATACCCATACACATTCGCAAGCATATATATACATTCATTAAACATACAACATTCGTAAGAATACAGAAAATAAATGAAACTGAAGTATCACTTCCTCAGCTCCTGCTGAAGGATATTTTCAAATAGACATACCACATCGTAATTTTATATGAATATTCCTTAGAATTACTTCATTATTACTTTCTGTATTATTTCTCAAATTAATTATTTGCTGATGCTAAAAATGCAAATATCATTAAGATAAAGAAAAGAGGTAAACAACACTTTTAATTTCTAGCTTCCATCTATGATGTGTCGTCACAGCTTGCTTGATAAATATTATGTAAATTTATTTATTTATCCATTTATCACTTATCATTTAGATTCATCAATAAATTTTCAATTGAATGAATTTAATTATTATATTTCCTCGATTCAGTAAATTCTTTCTCCAAAATAATAATAATAAAAAAAAAACATTCACTGCATCAGAAAATGATATACACTATACCTATCAAAGCTTAAATTTCAAATGATTTCTTTTATATATATAACTAAATATTAACAAAAATTTAATTTGATATCTAATGTATGTAAAATAATAAACGTTAGAACAGATTCGTTAGAAATTATTATTATTACTTATTCGCTATTACTTATTATAATATTTCTGTAAGTATTAAGAACTTTTCATCCCCTCTAAAAAATCATTTTAGGAAAATTCACAAAATCATTTTAGACTTAATAATTAATCTCAATCGAAGCCGAAAAATTATGATACGTCAAATAGCTTTAAATGTAATTACAATCGGAGAAACTGACGCAGTCGAAACTGAGAAATATTCGACTGTTTCATATATAAACGTCGAACGCCTCTTTCCTTTGTAAGGTATTTCTCCCTCGTTAACGCATGCCTTTTTGATGTAATTCGAAGCACGTCCTAATACGAAATGGGAGGTTCGGAATTTTGAATCCTATAGAGGGCATCGCTGATTTTTTAAGTTTCTCGGCTGCAAAAAATTCTAATCTCTGGTCACCTTCTCTGAAAGATCATGGTTTCCCTGAATAAAGACCAAAAGAAATTACAGCTCACACAAAGGAGTGTCCGTTCCGTTATAGTAATAATGCGGATATCTGTGAATAGATCTAAGCTAAAAATAAGTAGTCACAGAAAACCCAGTCCTTTGCATCGGTAGTATGCATAATTTTCAGTCAATGGGAATCCTTTAAAACTGCTGTTAACTTCTGACCAGAGCTAACGCCTGCAAGCTTTCGTTGTTGATGAATTCATTTGTTCTCAAGCATTCAGTGGGATGAATGAATGTGGAACAGAATATGAATTAAATTCTAGCTTTGTATAAATTAAATTAATTACGATAAAGCGTATTTGTGAAATTGAATTCTACAGATGCGCGCTCGGCAAGGGTTTACTGTATACTGTAGATTACGTTTAGCTATTATCAGTAAACTTCTTCTTCTTTGTGTAGGGAAGATGATATTACTGTGGCACTGCAAGTGAGTAGAAAACTGTTAACTCGAAATATTTATACCAAATCCCGTATCAAACAACTTTTTTTTAAATATAAGCTGGAATAAATTATTGCTTGCTACTATACCTGCATAAAATGCACTGCCACAGTTTTTTTATATGTATACTCAAAACACTGATCTCGTTACAGATCAGTGTATATATATCAGTTTTTAAATCATCTCTTATTCACAAAACATAAAGGCGAAAATGCACATTTGTGGACCAACTGTCCAGCCATTGGTGCATCATACGTCTGGAACTCATTCCAATCGTCTGAAAACGAAAGAAAGGTGGACCTGAAATGAAATAAAAGTAACCGCTTGTCTTTTCCGAGTTCCGTCAAACTGACCAAAATCATAACAAAAAACAAAACAAAATTGGCATTGCAGTCAAATAAATAGATCATAGAGAAATGCCCTAATCGTTTCTCATGGCAAACGCTTCTAGTTTTCCGAAATCAAATTACCAAGCAGGAAATAGTTGTCTGGTCAGATTTGAACGAATCCTTGTCTTGACGAACATTCTAGAAGTTCCCTTCCATTGCTTCCACAGTGTTTTAATGATAATGCATTACGAAGCAACGCTCAGTCATAAAAATTCATTCTGCTAGGGAAAACCTCATCTTCATCTTGCACCAACCGTTTCTAAATCTAACAATAGAGACTACAATTGAAATTAGAAGTGATATGTTACTTATAACAGTACAAGAGTTCATCCACATAAACAATTTGCCATTGGTAACCATTTTCGAATTTGCGCAATTGTTCAAAGTTTGATGGGCATAGCGGAATTTTTTTTAGTAGCACCTGGCGCCTTTAATTAAAAATCATATTAATACTATTAATTTAACATATGTTACTAAATGATAGGTCTTTTAACTACGGCTTGAAACTATTAAAAAAAGTAAAATTAGTTTATTTTTACTATTATTATTGTTTAGTATATTACTCTTAGATACAGCATATTAGAAATTAACTATTCAAACCTGTCTGATCCTCCGAGGTTCGTCCATGGGATGTAATAGAATAATATGTATTTATGATATTAAATAGATTACTTTTATAACAAGAAATAAATTATAAACTCCACACCATTTGCATATTTAATACCAGAAGATGATAAAAAACAGGCTTCCATAAAAATAGAATACTATTGTTTCATTTATTATTTCTTAAAGATCTTCTTACTTCGATAAATTTAATTTATTGTAGTGTTTAATGCATTTTTATTATTTAATTAATGTTTCAATTGTGTTATTCATACAAATAAATTGTAATTATTTTCCCTTTCAATATAAACAGCGATGTTTAGTAAGTTCGCTTATTTTTTCTACCTTATACTAACTCTAGTTAATCTCATAAATTTCCTTTGTTATCCAACAAATGAAGCTACCGCCTGATATGATGTTTGTTTTAGTTCACCGTAGAAAACATTCTATGATTAAATGAGGTTTTAAGTTATTGCTTTTTTATTTTTCTAAACGAGAGCTTAAATGTACAGTGATTACACAGCAGCGAGATAATGAAGTAAGCTGCGCTTTTTTTAATCTGTTAAATAAAAGAAACTCATACTTGTTTTTAATACATGATTAAAACAAAAGTGAAATCTCTTGCGTTCTATCTTTTGATCATCTTTGTGCAAGCGCAAACAAATGTTTCGCCATGTTATTATCATATATTTATAACTTCGACGCATACCATAAAATTTCTTAGAAGATAATTCTCATACATGAATATTGCGTAGACGTTTTTCCTCATCTTCAAACTCGAAAATATCCTTTGTTTCAATTAAATTTTGAATTTCAATAAAATATTTAAGTATATTTTTCTTAAATAGAGAGGATTTCTTTAAACATCCATTACCATATTTATTTTTTAGTACTACTTTATTTTTCAGTACTATTCAGTAGTAGTGTGATATTTATTTTTCAGTTCTATGTACTACCTACATGTGATGAAAAAATTTAGAACCTATTGCAGTTATTGCACGATTAAATTTTCATGGCATCTGTACTGAAGCTAAATTCATACATAATATTGGGAAGAACTGCAATTACTTGTTTTTTCATATATTCGCATAATTATAAATAGCGATAGAAAGAAAGAAATGGATAACATTTTTGCAACGCAGAACAGCGTGGGATGGAAGCATAGAATACAGTATGGATGCCAGATTAAAAATTCTGAACTTAATAGTAACCACTTTTTTATCGCTTTATTTCTTTGCTTTATTATTGTTTTTCAAATTTAATCTTATTATGCGGCTAAAAGTATTTACTCTTACTTTTGGCATTACGTAAGTATATGCGTCATTTGCATGGTTGGATATTCGATTTCAGAGACTGCCAAGCATTTGGACATTTACTATAACGCCATGGAAACAATATACTTACAGCATGTGAAATTCGATAAAAAAATCTTTCAGAATTCATAGCAGAAAACTAGCAGTAGGTGCTGACAGTGAGTGAAGACCTTGGATCGCATAATGTCTGAGAAAAATATGGCATCTTTGCACTGGCATTTAATTGACTTGCTACATTTTTTGCAGCAAATCAGTCAATTAAGCCCAAGGATAATATATCAAAGCATAGCAAAAACTGGATTTAATAGTCAATATTCCCAGCGCTTTAATCAACTTGACCTGCGAGACACAGATTTTTACGACTAGAATTTACAAAATTTCTTTGCCTTCAATCGCAAATGATTGAAAATGTATCATCGGTCAAATGGATCGCGGTTCAGTTGCATCATGCTGATGACAGAGTAAGAGTAAGGCAGAAATTTCATAAGCATTGGATTACAGATGCCATGCTAATATTCATTAAGCAACTGGCGATTATAGTAACAGCTTAGGCAGGGGAGAGGACAATTATGTATGTGGCCATCCATGCGATCCCTAATATCCTTAAACAAATGTCTAACGCGTTGAGGATATGTTAACATAACAAATGATTATATTTTCATCTATTCATGAGCATGTTCTTCCTGAAAAATACCTATATTTTCCAACATGATAGAGAGCGCTCCATTGCTCACATTTCACACAGGACTGAAAAAAGAATTCGGGTGAGTTGATAAACATCGCATGGCTTGCCAAATGGTCTATTCTCAATCACTTTGAGAATCTGTAAGATGGACTGTACAAGTATGTTATTATTGTCTCCCAGGCAGTATAGTGGTACCCCTACTACCGTAGCGATGGCCCTTTTCGAATCTTGGAAAAGGCATGGTTGTAACTGTCTGTCCTTTCATTGTAGGCAACGCTTGCCACCTGTTAGGTGCTTCAATAATGAACTGGCCATCAATTCCGGCCCTTGTAATGGCGCAAGGCTAATGGTTAATTAATAAAGAACCGAGCCAATGAAATAAAAGTACGATAATTTTATACTGAGAGAAGAAAAGTGATCTCACTGAAGCTTATTTCATGAGCATACAAT